CTACTTGCATTTTTTACATGCTTTGGAACAGCTAGGTTGGCAGAAGCTGGGACAAGTAACAGGAGCTCACTCCGTTACATGGCGCTAGGGATTCGAACCGCCAAACTGCTGACCTTCTGATTGACAAAGCTCAGTGTCTTAGCCACTGAGCCACCGGTCCCTGGCTCTAATTACATAGGTTTATAAAACAGGAAGATGGCTTGGGAATCCTGGAGACCCATAGTACTTGGTCGATAAAGAAAGAGGAATTATGAAGTTCGTATGATTTAGAAGAATGCAACACAAATGAACAACGGTAAAATCCTCAATAAAGGCACAAGACCTTCTGCTCCAGTGTGGTCGTCCCCCCCCCCGAACCCCTTTTGTGATTCCCATCAAGAAGCCTTTAAAAAATAATGATCAAATCCATCCTGTAAGGAGGCTGCTCACCCTCCCTTTCTTCTTTCTCGCTCACCCCTTCCTGATGATACTCTGTAATGTTCAAAACAGAAAATCACTACTCACAGAGGCGGCTTGTAATTTCAAAGTGATTTCCTTCAATTACAGACTGGGGTTTTATTTTAATGAAAAAATATAGGATGCTTGTATCCAGCAGTGACCCGATAGATTCCAAGGCTCACGAAAAGAAAGGAAATGGAAAAGTTCACAGTTCTCTGATTCATGTTGCCAGATCCTTTGCTTTCAGAAAGCAAGGGAAGAAATATATATTCCCCCCCCCCCCCAGTAAAACTCATCTTTTGCTCCAATTTTAGCCTATTAAAACAGTCTGCTTTGTTATGGTAAAGGTAAAGGTTCCCCTCGCACATATGTGCTAGTCGTTCCCGACTCTAGGGGGCAGTGCTTTTCTCCGTTTCAAAGCCAAAGAACCAGTACTGTCTGAAGACGTCTCCGTGGTCATGTCGGTGGCATGACTAAATGCCAAAGGCGCATGGAACACTGTTACCTTCCCACCAAAGGTGGNCTAAGGGTTCTGTATATTATATGTGGGGTTTTTTTCCAGTTCAGCAAGCCAAATATCCCCCGTTTGTTAAACCCAGACTGGGGATTATGGGATTTGAAACTGTATGTATTTTATCAAAGTGTTTCTTTTTTCACCCCTCCCCTTTCTTTGCGCTTTGCTTTTACTTAATTTTCAATTTAAGTTGTCTTAAGTCTTTCCAACTGTCAGTCTTATAGATCTAATGATAAATCTGTGGAGGGAAAAGGTCATAAAATCAGGCATGACTCACTTAACAATTGCCTTGTTTAGCAACATAAATTCTGGTCCCAATTGTGGTTGTAAGTCAAGCACCGCCTGTAATGTATGGGGCATTCATAAATTATAAACCAAAGTTGGATAGACAAAAGTAATCAACTACAATTTCAAAAATTGGTGGCATCTCTTCTTCTCCCCACAACCTCAACTCACCGAAGTCTCTTGAATCTTGCTATTATAGCGGACTCTGACAAAAGGATCAGAAGCTCCATTCCGATCTTTCCGAGCTAAATCCCTTGAAAGAAAGAGGAGAAGGAAGGTTACACATGCTGATGGTGCCATTTGCATGAATACAATGGAAAAAACAAGACAAGTTTAATTCTCAAAAAAATAAAGTCTACCATATACATTTGGCACATCTTTGAATACAAGATGGAAATTGTGTCTGGTTCTGGGACACTGCCTGGACAAGTCCCTGCAGTTTTCTTTGCAAGGTTTTTCAGAAGTGGTTTGCCATGGCCACATTCCTAGGGCTGAGAGTAAGATGGCTTTGTGTGTAAGGCAGAACTAGAACTCCCAGTGTCCTGGTTTTGAATCTGATGCCTTAAGCAGGGGGTGGGCTGCTGGGAGTTCACATGGGTTCAGCCGATCCTCTAGCTAGGATTCTGCCCAGTTCGGCAAACCCCCAAATGTCACTCCTGGCTGGCCCCTCCCACCCTAGGAGTCCCCACGTGGCCCATTCATCATGCCAGGTAAGTGCATGGCCCCACGGAGGCTCGGGGAGGTGGGGAAATGGGCCTACCAGAGGTTCTGGAAGTCCGGAGGGCCTCCAAAGCCCAGGGAGAGCAATTTTTGTCCTCCCGGAGCCTCAAGGAAAACCTCTGGAGCCTGGGAAGGGAGAAAAACTCTCCCCGTGGTACAGGAGGCCGACTAGGCCACGCCCACCATGGCCACGCCTACCCAGCAACAGGGCAGCGAACCTGTTGCTGCAATTTTTGAAGCCCACCCCTGACTCCAGCAAATTAGCTCTCTCAACCCTGCAGTACCCAAATATTACTACAGCTCTATAAATCCTTAGTAAGACCATGCCTGAAAAAGTGCATCCAGTTTTATTCACCATATTATCAAAAAGATGTTGAGATGTTGGAAAGAGTACAGAGAAGATCAACTAAATGATTAAAGGCCTGGAGATTAAAACATATGAAGAACAGTTGCAGGATTTGGGTTTGGCTGGTCTAGAGAAAAAAAGGACTGGGTATGGTGTGTGTGTGTATGACACAGGATAGTAGTGTTCCAGTATTTGAGAGGCTGCTACAAAGAGGAGGATCAACTTATTCTCCAAAGCACCAGAAGACAGGGCAAGAAACAATGGATGGGAACTAACCAAGGAGAGAAGCAACCTGGAATTAAGGAGAAACTTTCTAACTGTGAGGACAATTAACCAGTGGAACAGCTTTCCTTCAGAAGATGCAGGTGCTTCATCACTGAGGTTTGTAAGAAAAGACTGTTCAGCTCCCTATCTGAAACGATGCAGGGCTTGAGCAGGGGGTTGAGCTAGAAGACCTCCCAGGCCCCTTAAAACTCTATTCTGATTAAGATCAAATTGGTGCTCTTCCATCTGCAGACTCTTGTATACTGCCAAGAAAACACAGCCACTCCTGAAGGATACAGGGCATCCAAGGGCAAGTCAGTCTTTTAGAGAATTCTTATACCAATAACTCAATTCAGATAAGTAACAATCTGCCTCCTTTGGGAATCAATTCTTTAGTCTTCTGAACTCTTTTGTTTCGTTTGCTGTACAAAATGGCATTTTCCTGATTTCCAGGATGTCCCTCTAGCTCTCAACCCTTGAAAGCTTGCAAGTGTTCAGACATACTCCATTTGGTTTTAACTTGCCCATCCCATCTTTTAATTGCAAGATGTTTTTTTTTTTCTGACTCCAATTAAAAGGTAAAGGTGGCTCCCAAATAGTTGACTGGTGGAATTATGTATAATGGAAAACAGTGATATATAAATATAAATGGTTGGTGAAAAAAAAACCCTTTTCTTTCACATGGGGATTATATAAAGGTATACTGTTATCAAATAGATAATCAAGAATGTAAGGGAACTATGATTTATTGGGGAAAAATAATAATACTAATCGTAATTGAATATATACTGTACAATGAAAGTGAGGTATTTAGTTATACTGGATGAAAAATCTGTGATGGTAAATGTTATTCGAGAATATGGATGTTACACCTATAACCAAACGACATGCTGCATGTGATGATGCTTTTCTTTTTGTTTTG